CAGTTGTCTCCATTTTGGCTGACCTGACCCTATATCCATGTATTAATGGGTACAGAGCTGGTTAGGACTTTTCCTTATCCCTTCAACTGACCTTAAGCAGTATAGATTGGTCTAGCCGAGGTGCTGTGGGTAGTCTTTGAAGATGACACACATGTTTCCCTGATAATCCATACCTGCTGCTCTTTAATAACAGGTTGAAGAGCCAATGCTCCATGCTGTCAACTGGGCTTGAGTCTTGAGATAGAGGCTATAATTTTGTGGGGCTTGGAAGATTGCATATCAGAGCTAAAGCACCAGACCCCAAAACATTAGATATTATCTCAATAGTATAATGCAAATTATTTTTTCTGCATATCCTTCTCTCTGCATATCGCAGAGGTTAAATGCAAGCCATCTACCTAGCCCAACTCACAGTACTCACTTCCTTCCTTCAGTTCTCAGTCATTTATTCTTAAGCCACTCCTCCTTCATGACTGAATAAAACCTGGGTTCATAGGGGCCAGGGAGATAGATCAGTAGAATAAGCGCTTGTCTGGCAAGTGCAAGGGCCTGAGTTCAATCCTCAGTTCTGCCAAAATAAATAAATAAAAATAAAATAAAACCCTAGCTCAAGGCCATCACCGAGCTGGACTGAGGACCCCTTGGCTCCCCATAACCATAAATATGCCTTAGTGTCTTTATTCTTGCTGTGGGTTGCACTAGAAGTGGTAGATTAGAATTAACTTGATGGGATTCCAATAATTTATCCATGGGATTACAAATATGAGCTTCCTGGACTGATACAAGGACCAAAAAAGGCTCCCTACAGAAAATTATACAGCTTAATCTCCTGGGAGAATAACAACCAAATTTACCAATTAAGGAACTGTTTCAGGAATTATCGGAAGGTGAGTTATTCTATAGTAACTACACCTTACTCACCATGCAGGATGCCTAGAAATAACCCATTTAAGCTTTTCAACATCTAGTCAGATCATTACCATTTATCTCAGAATATTCCTGAAGACATTCTACTCCTGTTAACTTTACACACTGGTGCTTGGATCTCCAATGCAATGACAGATAAGGCCAACGTACAAGGCTTTGCTTTTGAAAATATGACCCTGCAGTGACATGCCTTAAGCTGAGCTCCTAGTCTTTCAAATTTTGTGTTATTATTCCTTTCAAATGGCAAGTTCTCTTGAAGGAGTGAATAACAGAGTTGCAGAAATTGACATGCAGTGACAGCTTTGACTTTCCAATGCACCTCCAACACAATCTTTTCCATTCTCATCAAGTTTGAAACTGTGATCCTATCTGACTTATTTGGATCAAATCAGTTGCCAAGGCAATATTTTTTTCCTCTTCTGTTGATTTTACAACAAAAGAAAAGCAGCTCAGTCCAACACACCCAAGATGACTGGGCTGAACCTTCAATTCAGACAGGAATCTGTCCAGTACATTCATAGCTAGGGAAAATGTATCCATATCAAAGTCAAAGAACTGTGTTAGACTAAAAAGATCTTTTACTTCCAAGACCATTAGTCTTGCAGTCATCCTGAAGCCATTATCACATGCAGATTTAATTAGTCTCAAGCTCCAGTTGAGACTTGGCTGACATCTCCCCTCTTGTTCCCACAGGTGTTCAGCTGGTGTAGCCATGTCCAGGC